TTCCAAAGCCTTCCGGACCTCGAGTCCATTGGACAAAAGGCACTCCTTCGCTTGAGGGAACCCCCGCAAAACGACAAAGAAGAAACAAAGGCCTGGGTCCTGCTTTGCAATGCGGGAAGCAACTGCGCAACATCTTCTCACTGCATTTCATGGAAACTGCCGTCGAGATGCCTTGTGCACAAGTACTGCCTGAGCTGCACTCAGTTTGGGAATCCTTGCCAGCCCCAATGGCTTTGCTCATAAACCACCCTTTTCCCTCATTCACTTTTCTGATACTTTCTGAGAGTTGCAAAACTTGAAAAGCAGCAGGGACTGGGCCATAGCAGTCAGTTAGTAATCCCACATCTGGTTGCACCATCCCCCATCGCTGCTCTGTTTGTCTCTGGGAGCGTCCACCAACTCCGCAAACAACGCTACTTCCTCAGAAAACTGGTGTACAGAAATCATTGAAGACAGGAAACGTATCAAACGCCTCCGCTTCCGAGCAAATCCATCACGCGCACCAGCAAGCAGCACAGCTTTGGGGGTCCAAGTGCTGGGGGTCATCACATGGGTGCCTTGGCCTGAGGTACGGAACGCCGATGCCGTCTCCCAAATCCCTGAGGCTATGGCTTGTAAGTGATTGTCTCACAGTCCACCATATCTCTGGTGTTCTCCTTGGCGATAAGCCAGCGACTCGCCAAGCACCTGGTCTTTCCCGCTTTTTTGGCGCCAAGTGCACATGACTTGGAATGGGATGCTTCAGTAGACATCATAGTTGGGGATTTGCAACCACCAATGTCCCAGGCGTTGCCCAAAGTTTGTTGCCAATTGAGGGTGTCCGCTTATTACTCATGTCTTTGTCATAGGTTGGGAAAATAGATGGCCTGGTCAATGGAATCAAACCAGCCTGAACCAGTGCCATCTATTTCTAGCCAAAATCACCTAAAAAGGACGCCTATGTTCTTTGCTTTCTTTTGCTTTCGTTTGGAGGCAGTATCGTCTTTTGTTCGGCCTTGAGACGGCTCACCAGGACACGTCTGTATGGTGCCCATGCTCAGGTGGAAAGGTAGCTTCCATGAAGGTGATGCCCCCATCCTTCACTCGGACCCGCCCCGTGCATCCCGAAAAGGGAATTTAACGTACTCACAGAGAATGCGGAGCCCTACTTTAGAATTTACAAGTTTGGCACACCCAGAAGTGGAACAAACTTCAAGAGCTCAAATGTAAGATGATCGCCGTAGATCTTTCCAATCAGCTGAAAACCATTGACAAAGATAGCTGGCCAAGCACATGGACCTCAACACCGACCTGCAAAGAACTGGAGCCGATGTTCTTTGGCCCGTGTCTGCCGAGGGCGTGTTCAAACTATTGTCATACCCTTTCGGTTGCTCATTCAAAGACGTTCTAAGGATGGGGAGTGGGCATAATTTCGCTAAGGTTCCCCTTCCCAAGTCTGGAGTGAGCCACTCTGCTTTAGGGGACAGCTAGACATCAGTAGGAAACCTGGGTGTGAGTGTACGTGTGTTCTCTGCGTGTGCGTGTATGAGTGTGTTTGTGTTTGTGGAAGTCACCCCTCTGCGAAGTGAACACATGCCAACGGAGGGGACACCACCGTTTTGCAGGCCCTTTAGGACCCTAAAAACTCCTTGAGCTCCCGGCGTAGTCTTTGCAGCACTTCATATATGCATCGAAGTCCTGGAGAAGATCGCCCCAAAACTTGCTACTAATCCATTTTGGTCATGACAGAGGCGCCCACTGAAATTACCCCAGGTACCTGCTGTACTGGACGGGACCTGTTTTGGGGGCCTTGGCTTTTGCCGAAAGCCGTGCCTGAGAAGGATACCCTCAAAAAGCAGACCCGGATGTGCCATGGTGAACATGTGGCCTGGAACCCTTCTGGTTTTGTAAATCCTTGAGGGATGACCATCCCGACCAACCGAAGGTAAAAGATGCCACATAAATGTCTCCCATTCAGGGGATACTTCCATGATAACACGTTATTTTCCCTTTCATGCCGCCCCAAACCAACACGGGCTCTCACACGATCATTGCTGGCTGTGTCATCTGATGAGATGTGTTTCTTGTATTGCTTTTAATCCCGTGCTTACTAAGGTGTACTCGCTCAGTTTTGATCGCGTAACAGTATGGTTGATACTTGATCCAAAAACTGTCGCGATCAACGGCTTCAGAACACAAACCATTTGGGCTAGTATCTGGGAAAAAGATACCCGGGAGCCCTTTTGGTCTCCTTTTTGGGAAGCATCCCAAAGCATCATTGGACCCTCCATCGGAGGGGTCTGGCTCCAAATTGAGCGGTTTTGAACCTCCAACAAGGGAACTTGAGGTCCCAAAATAGCTTGGGACTAACAAAACCAATGCTCGCCACCCAGTATGAGAGACTCAACGCCACCCTTCTCAAAAAACAAAACAACTGCGGGCGGGCGTGGGCCGTTTTGGTCAGCCTGTCCTCCTGGCATGGCATCGGCTCCCTTGGCCTCGCGAGGCCAGGCTTCAACTTAAGGCCTTTTCAAGGTATGGGTTTTGGAGGTTTAGAGGTTGTATGCCAGATTTACAAGCGCATCCATGCCTGCAAAACCCTTCCAAATGCCCTTGACTGCGCGTCGCGGGGAGAGACACTTGCTTGATCACTTCATCAGCATCATCAGCATCATCAGCATCAACATCATCATCATCATCATCATCATCATCATCATCATCATCATCATCATCATCATCATCATCATCATCATCATCATCATCGTCATCGTCATCATCGTCATCATCGTCATCTTCGTCATCATCGTCATCATCACGCCTCAGAAACCACTTAAACAAAATTGGGACTTTTTTCTTGGATACCATAAATCCCTAACTCTAAGTCCCGAAGTCTAAAGCAGCCGTTTGATGGCGGGCCTCGCTGGCTCCACCGGCATGGTGGCACCCATGCGGCTCGCGCTCGCAAGCGAGGAGCTTGCGAACCCAAGTGAGCCCCACTTGTCGTCCAATGGCCTTAACCCAGTGGTTGAGTTTCCCAGGGAACTGGGCCCGCCTTCACATGTACTCAATAAGTTTTCTTTATGGGCTTGATGAGTTTGTTGGCTCAAGTACACGAGTCAGCCGAGGGGTTCTCTGGGTGAAAGGGAATTCCTGTGATCTGGGCACACGTGATGGTTAAAGCCATCAAAACCTGGCAGCAAAGAAGTCTACCCAAGGCCCACGGAACAGAACCAACCAGTTGATGCTTGGGACCCCCCCCCGACTAATGCCTTTGTTTGTCTGGTTCTGTCATCGCGGCTCACTCGCTGTACCAAATAACCAGGACATACACGGTGGGGCGCTCGCTTTTAGGCCTTCTTGTCGGGTGACTAAAAGTAGACATTCAGGGGACCACCAATAGGGGAAGAGTAAAATCACGCGGCGGTCAATGCTGTGGAGGTGGCGCTTCCCATTTGTACGACAAGTGAAGCAAGTAGGTGCTGAGTGTGTTTGTTCTGGCTGCATCCGGTGTGTAGTAAATTGCAACATTCCGCGGCGTCTTGAGCATGAGTGAGTGGCAATCAACTGAAGACGTGAGGCTTTAACCACCTTGGCATGGTACTTCCCGTTCCCCATTCCCCGCTCCCGACAAATGGATTTGCAAATCGATTCACGTGTATTAGTATTCAGACATGCCTGCAGGACCCATTGATACACGAATGTTTGCCCGAGCTTTCGTAGTAAATAAGTGCGCGAGAAACGGTAAATGCAAACACATGCAAACGCGCAGATTGCGGGGCAGAGCTTTGGCTTTGCACACTTTTTGGAATTGTGCCCGAGTTGCGGAAAATTGCGCCCGAGCAGCGGGAACTTGCACTCAAGTTGCGGGTTCGTTTTCTCTCGAGCACTTCACCAAGCATCTAGGCAACCTCAAAAAGTGCTCGAACTGGATTTGAGCAGAAAAAAAACGCGCGAATGCCAAAAACTGTCTGGAGCACTTTTTTGTATCAAAGGGTCCTCCAGGTGTTGAGCTCTGATCCGCACATGTTCGGTTGGAATTCGAAGGTAAGGCCAGTCGTGGATGGAACGCTACGAACGATTTATCGCGATTGAAGCGCAAGGCACCGCACCCCCAGATCAGACTCCAAAGCAAACACATGACAATTTCCCCTGATGGGCTCAAGTCCCTCATTTACCCCCCTGTCAATGCACGTGTTCGTCCTGAGGTATGGTCCTTCTGAGGACTGGTGCTGCTACCTTTCCCAAACAAAGCGCCCTCCCCTCCCAAAAAGCGCGCAGCCGGGTTGGTCGAATTGACAGGGAAACAGCACGACGGGCTTCTTTCCCTTTAACACAGCCCAAACACAAGAGCTTTTTCTGAGAGTCTCCATCCTCAGGTCATTTTGATCTTTGGCTTCCCTTGCGCTTCCCTGAAAAGAACTTCTCGGTGCCCTAGTTTCCCTTGTTTCCATCTTCGGACCTCCCTCCAAGACGGAACGCCCACGAGTCACGCCGCTTTTATCACTTCTGCGGGAGGGGGCACAGCTAAAGCCCTTGGGGCTCCGTAAGGAGACATCTCGGGCATTTGAGTCGTAACATTCGCCAAGGTAAATACCGGGTCAAACAAAAAAACACCATTCCTGCAAATCATTGGGCCCTCTGCCCGCAGCTTCCTAAACGTATGTTTTCAAGAGCTCGAATTCTCAGCGTGGGCCCGCTGGAAAACGTTTGGAGACCTTCAGGGGGTGCTCCGGTTAGAAGTTTGGCCGATCCTTACCGCAAACGCTACACCTAGAGAAGTAAACCAAATGGCTGATTGTCAGTGACAAAGGGACGCCCTGTGACCCGTTGTTTGGTTCGGAGCAACCCAGTGGAATCGCGCAGGGCAAATGCAGGAAGGCTTCCTGGTATCACAAAAGTGTCAACCAACCCTGATTCCTACAGCCATCTTTGAGTGATCCAAACGTAGGCAAGCTGGTCAAATTGCATATTCCCAGTGCGCCTATGGGTGGCTGCGCTTTCGCACGCGCTTTCGCGCGCGCTCACGCGCTCGAATCGGAATCGCGAACCTCAAGAGGTGCAGGGACTTGGGTCTGTGGTTTGCTGAGGGCACCCTTAGAGTTGGTTTAAAGGGAAGCCAACAGAAAAACCACCTTGGAAGACCCTATTTTGACACATACTTATTTGCACAGGGCGGCACAGCTGTGTACTCAACTCGACCGGGTGGTATTTTCTCAACGAATCCTTGTTTGGGACATGGCATGCTTGCGAAAAGAAGGCTACACGGATAGAGGTCTTTCCTTAAAAGGTGCAAACTCAGGAAAATCGTTGGGAAAGCAAGCAGGGCTGGTTGGTCAAGGGATGGAAGAAACCATCCCTTGCACCTCCCCAAGGCAAACATGCAACCCAGATTGGACTCTCTCTGGAACCATGTGGGCGTGCGCCAAATTAGGGGAACTCCAATAATTGCGGTTTTCTTGTTGGCTCCCTTTGCAACCAGGCTGAAAGGGGTAACTCCTTCCTGAAAGAAAACAAACAAACATTCCCATGGTGTTTGACAATCTTCCCGAATGGTCGCCACAATCTTCCCCATCTCTACCGCGTCCCTCCTTCGATCTATCCGAAATCGATCGCTCCCTTTTCGTCTCCTATTAAAACCCAGCCAAAGGGGTTTGCCAAACACACCAAGGATGGACAAAATTAAATTCGCACCGCTTGGGATGAATGAAAGGCCGACCTTTTTCTCAGGATTTTTTCCAGCGCTTCTTTGAATTTTTATCCGTTCCATTTTCCGGTCTCCTTTGGAGTGGTCTAAGGTGGGTCTAGGGTGCGCTTAGGGTTTAGGGCGGTGGGGGTTTGGGGTGGGCTTGGGGTGGGTTTAGGGTGGGTTCATGGTGGGCTTGAGGTTACGTTCAGTGTGTTTCGGTTGTGTTTCCATTCGGTTTAGGGTGCTCAGGGTGTGCATTTCGGGTTGGTTTAAGGGGTTTAGCGCGAGTTTGGTGAGGGTGGTTTGGGGTTTGGGGGTTCAGGGTTGCCGTATGTTGGTTTAGGGTAGAGGGTCAGATGGAGCTTGGGCTGGCGCGAGGTGGATTTAAGGTGGGTTTAGTGTGGTTTTGGTAATTTAGGGTTGGGTTCAGTGTTGGTTGGGTATAAGGTTTTCGGGGTTCAATGCTCGGCCCAAGGTAGGCTTAGGGTAGGTTTAGGATGGGTTTAGTTGGGTAGGTTGAGCATGGGTTTGGGTGGGCAGGCTATTGGTTTAGGGCAGGTTTGTGCTAGAAGTTTAGGATAAGTGGTTAGGTGCGTTTGGGGTGACCGTCACCACTGGTGACGTCCTTGGTGCATGAGTCGCCACCCTCACGAGAATATTTGGCGGGCGCCTTAATGAAACAGGACAGGAGAATGAAAGCAGCTGCTGAAGAAGCTGAGTGACAGCCATGGGTTGGTTTAAGGCGGGTTTTGGTTTTGGGTTCAGGGTGCGTTGGGGGTTGGTTTAGGGTGGGCGTTCAGGGTTGGTTTAAGATAGGTTTGATGGGCGTAGGGTGGGTTTATGGGTAGGTTTTAGGGTTGGCTGAAGGCTGGTCTGGGGTGTGTTTGCGGTTGCTTTAGGTGGGTCAGTTTAGGATTGGTCTAGGGTGGGTTCAGATGGAGTTTGGGTTGGTTGGGTTGGTTGAGTTGAGGATACAGCCGGGTTTAGTGAGGTTTCAAGGTTAGGATGGTTAAGGGTAGGTTTAGGGTAGGTTTGGGGTGCGTTTAGGGTGAGGTCGAGGTGGGTTGAAGGTGGGTTTAGGCTTGGTTGAGCGTGGGCTTGGCGTACGGTTGGGGTGGGTTTAAGGAGGTCTGAGGTGGGTCGGGGCAGGTGTAGGGTAGGCGGTTTTGTGTTTGGGGAAAACGGGGGGGGGGGGGGGGCTTGCTTGCTTTCTTTGCCTTCCGGACTGGAAAAAAAACAACAATCCAGCGGGATAAAAAATCCATCAATAATACAGCACCCTGAATGAAACCCTATGAAAGGCAAAAACCGCCAATCCCACCTGCGAACTGGATTTCGTCCGCGGAACGAAAGGCGCCTTCACTCAGGAGTTCCGGATGCAAATACATCCGAAGCTTCCATACTGCAACAGTGCAACTAAGAAATCGACCCACGCAAGCCCGGCAATAGAAGAACCCCGGTCGACCGGGAATCCTGTTCCATGTTGAAGAGATCCTTCATAGGATAACACTCCCCTTTCTCGGCCATGACCAAGCTGAGGCCAACAGCTTGGCTCCTTGTTACGTTGCAAGGATGCCCTTGGGCTCATTCTGAGCCCTTTACATCCTGAAAGGGAAATGAGCGGCTTGCTGGTCTGCTTGTATGAGCACCTCTCGCCCCCCCTCGAATTCCCTAAGCTGGAAGGCTTAAATGAAGGGGGCTACCATTTGGAAGGCTGGGGTCCATTGGAACCAAGAAACAACCGCATCCCGAAATCGAGGAAACTCCTCTTGGCAAGCCTCCTTTGGGTTGCTGATGCAAACTTTCTAGGGGACTAGGCCCCAAATACCAAGGAAAAACCTGCCCAGTGCTTCCAGTTACCGTTATAGTAGGTAATCATGTAAAAACTGCAGCTAAGAATACCGAAGGGTTACCTACTACCGTGGCTTGTTTGGAAGCACCGAGCTTGGATTCCTAATAAACGCTTTGTAGGGGACTAGCACCCAAATACGAAGGGAGAGTCGGCTTCTAAAACCACTCAGGCCTCAAAGTGGCAGGTCACCTTCTGCTTCCTGCGGTTGCGGGCGAGCGTCTTCGGGCGTGTTGCGGGTCTCTCAAATTTGAGGCGGATCGTCTCAGCCGGGTGTCTCAACATGCACAAAATTCCTGGCCCGGTATATGGGGCCAGCTGAACAAGTCTTCTTCTAAGATGGCCAATATGTTTCATCTAGGGGGCCCTGAAGTACGCAAGTACCTTGTTGGATGGGGTCACAAGGGTAAAGGGGAAACCAAAGTAGCCAATATCAATGGTCTACCCTTGTGGGTTGGTCATTGCCTTGAGATGGATGGAGCAACCCGACTGCTCAGGCGAGGAAAGCTCCAAGGAACAATCTATTATATATATATATATCCGTTTTGGGCGGGGGGGTCTTTTGGAGGAAAGGGTAAAAGTACATAGATAGTGCCTCATTTTGATCATGGACACTTGCATGACGTTTCGATTGCAATCGACGCGTTTTGAGAGTGCTTTAATCATTGACGTTCCTAGGTTGCTTCGTGGTTCCTGAATAGAAACCTGGTGTGAAATCCCGAACTTGGGTCCATGAGTCCACCATCATGACCATGCCCACCGAAGTAAATCGGAGATTTGACCATGGCATACAGGAGTTGTGGCTATGTTCGATCGTTGGCCCAAAGGGCCCGACCTGGGAAGACTGCGTCCCCGACCAAATTGGAAACAGAACGATTGAGCCCTAGAAGTGACAGGTTCTTTGACGCCCAAAACTTGGGGGGTCGGCCCTTGTCAAAACCACCGACCCATCCTTGGACCCATGTTTGGACAAGTTGGCACCCCTAACAAAGGCGTAAAATGTGAAACTTTGCGGCAAAAACAACTTGCCCTGAAATCATCCAATGCGAGTTGTGGCCACTGATGCTCTGAGCATGACGTCAGTGGGAAATTGACTGGCGCAATCCTAGGTTCCTGCTTTGGTTCAGAAACAATGGCAGTGGCAGTGGTAAATTATCAAAGTAAACCAGAGCCACCCGTGTTCCAAACTGACCAACCAGGACGCCAACGTTCGGAGAAAAACCTCTGAATTGGCTTCTAACTTGAATGGGTTCCTTTCCGATGCACACATCTTGTTCAAATCGGAACCCATGTGTGACCCCGTTCCACGCGTCCCATATGGCCGCTCACAAAGCTACGGGTGTTGAGGCACTCAGGCGAGTCCATTTGCTCTGGGCTCCCCGGCTTCAATTCTGCGGCCATGGCCTTCGGGTCGTCCATGCCGTTCACCTATGCAAGCAACCCCTAAAAAGGGGCGGCGGAGACCCGATGCCGCAAAACGCACCCGGTGGCTGTAGCCGGTTTGTTAAAACACCTGTTACCTGTTTTCTTACAGCCTCAGTTTTAGTTGCCTTTGAAGTGGACCAAAATGCTGGTTGTTTAAGCACATTTTTGCGCCGTGTGCAGTTGGCAGTGGCTGACATGGCTGAGGAAATGCATGTCCAAGAAAACACTTACAAACATAATCCGGGGCGTACTGGATAACAATTTGCCAACTCAATGAGCCGAAAGTTTGCAAGTCAACGATCAAGAGCTTCCTGTCAGGAACAAAACAACAACAAACAGTAAATCTACAGAAGTCTTCACAGCTGCCTCCTTCCACAAGGCATCTGTGACCAGCTTTCCCTTTCATGTTGACCCTATATCAATAAACCCATGTTTATTAATATGGGGGTGTTCCCCTCTAAAAGTGCTGAATCTCCACTAAAACCAGGGACACCCCCATATCAACAAGCAGGGGTTTATTCATATG